TGAGAAAAAAAAGTTTTGGATCAGATTTCCCAAGTTGACCCAATCCAAGGGGAAAGGAGGAAGGCCTGAGAGGAACAGGTGTGAGGCACAGCCACCCAGACCTCCTTCCCACCAGGCCGAGCCAGGAACACCGGGTCTTCAGAAGTCGGGAGGTGCGGATGAAGGCCAGCAGGGTGCCGGCCCAGGGGCTCCCCATTGTCAGGCCTGGGGGGAGGAGCAAGGTGTTGCCTCACACAGGTCAAGAAGGGAACGGGAAGGGGGATTTCTGAGTCCTGTCCTCAACTGTGGACTCCTCGTGGGGAGAGGGAGACGCAGCCTGTCTGGTGCTTCCTCAGGTCCTGTTGGGGGTAACACAGGAGTGCGGTGGAGGCAGTGGTAGAGGCCAGGAAGGCTTGATGAAGGAGGACTGGAACTGCCTTGCAGACGGTGGGATGACGGCACAAGGGGACAGAAGCGGCACAAGCAAAGGTGCAATGTAGCAAAGATGGGAATGTGACTCTGGAGCTGGCAGGGCCTGGCTTTTTGTCTCCTGGAGACTATGGGCTCTGTCCTGGAGGCCGTGGAGCGTTTGCAGGTTTTGAGGAGCGAGGCATCGTCAAGGAGGGCTTCAGAGTTAATCTTCAGGCCATCCAGGAATGAGGACTGTGTGGGATTCGGAGAGGTGCTCGGTGAGGCTCATCTCACCTGTCTCCCGGGCGTAATATAGAGGCTTGTCTGTTCCTCAGAGATTGTAAATCAGTTTCTTGATCACCCAAACCTCATGATCCATTTCCTTCACGTAGGATTTGAGGGTAGAGAAGCTCTCGTGCAGCTTGTGGCGGAGTGGGGCCCCTGTGGTTAGGGAGCCAGAGGGAGGCTGTCCAGAGACAGGCTCACCAACCCTGGTCTGCTCCTCAGGTTTGCCCTGGTGCTGAGACCAGGTGCCCTGTCCTCCAGGAAGTGGACACAGAAGAGCAGAGAGCCAGGGCACAGGGGAACTCACCAAGGGCCCATCCGTTGTCAGTGGTACCAGTGCTGCTGCCAGGAATGCAGCCCTCTTTGAACACAAGTTTCAGGGGAAGCTGGGAGATCTGGGAGTGGGTCTTAAGATTCAAATTTCAGTGGCTCCAAGCACTGACAGCTGCTGTTTCCATCCCCATTGTAGGGATAAGACTACAGATGTGGTCACTGCCCTCGGCTGTCCGGCCACAGGTCTCCCAGACAGTGCCTGGGTGGCGTCTGCACACATCCGGATCTTCACGTGTCCATTTTCTTTTTTCCTCTGAGGCTTGGAGTCTAAGCGGAATGGAGGTTTCCTCAGACTTTCTCTAATGAGTGAACAAGTTTCTGCTGAGTTAAAGTCGTTTCTCTTGCCCTCTTGGGAAGTAAGGTTAGGGTTGATGAAGCTTTAGAGTGACTCCAAACTATTCGGTAGCACACCTGCAGTCTCTCATCTGTCCTCACAGAAGCCCAACTGCACCCACTGTGAGTCCCTGGGGGGAATAACAGAAGCATGGGTTTGGGGCCGGACAGATGGATCTGAATTCACTTAGTATGCAGTCATAGACAATCTGTGTAACCTCCAACCTTAGTCTTCTTACCTGTAAGATGGTGATGTTAATACCTGCCTGGTGCGTGCGGGGCACTCAGCACAACCTGGCACGTGGCAGGTACTCAATGAATGTCAGATACTGTTCTCATCACGTGGATTTTACCAGGTTCATGCCCAACGGGCAGCAATATCTCTATGAGCTCTGAGTGCTTAGGAGATAACTGTTTCCTTCAGTTAGTGACAAGACCCAGGTTCTGACTTAAGCTCCTCGGCTCGTGCTGTGATTTTATCTTTAACCACAGCCACCTAGAAGCCCTCCCAAGGGCTACCAGAAGTAGTTCTGACTCTCCACAGACCCCAGCTGGTCCATGAGGGTTCCCGCCACCAAGGACCGTCCCTACAGTCCTCAGACCCCAGGGTGCCGCCTCCCTCATCATCTGCGCAGAACTTAACAAGCCCCAGGGGACCAGGGCCTCTTCAAGTTGGGTGATCAAGTGCCTCAGTGGAGTCAGCGACCGTCCTACGCCTACAATTGTATCGCAGCCCGCGCGACTCCTTTACGCTCGGCAGGCCCTGCACTCGGAACCCGGCCCACCCGGGAGGCCTCGTTAGCCGACTCCCGTCGGCCGCCCGCCTCACCAGCCAATAAGCAGCCCTGTGCCCGCCTCCGTTGGACCGACCGCAGGGGAAGGTCCCCTGGGGCCAAGTCGCCTCCACCCTGCGGCAGCCGCCACTGCTTACGATGCTGGGGCCTAGCGATCCCCAAGTCAAGGGCTGAAAGAGAACCGCCGGAGCCCCGCCCGGAACCCCGCTCTCCAGCCCTCGGTTTCCCCAGCCCCTCTGCCACAACGGACCGAGGAGGGCGGGACGCCGAGCACCATAGAGTCGAAGGTCTTCCCTGCGTCCTAGAGGGACTCGAGGGCGTACGCGCAGGCCCCGCCCCGGGACTACTTCCGGCGGTGCGGCCAGTCCCGCGGGTGGGCTCGGCCTCTTGGGGGCGCCCGGGTCTCCGCGAGGCGCGGGGGCAGCCGTCTGATGTTGGTTAAGGGCAGATGTGACTGAGGTCCCCTCAGCTAGGGGCAGCTGGGCCTGCGGAGGCGGAGGTGGCCCAGGCGGCTTCCGCGATATGCTCGGTCTAGGGAAAGCCCCTCAGAACGCAGCTCAGTGCGAACGAAAATCCTGTATCTCCAGGCTGACTTCTCGAGCACGTGTCAAACTTTCCCAGGGTTCCGGTCCGATTTACGGTCTCATCCTGCATCCGCTGGGACTGCGGCCCTTGAGGGCTCGAGTCTCCAGCCCTAGTTGACTCCAGTTACTGTCCGTCTAGGCCCGGCGAGGCGTATCTCCTTGTGGTCGTGACTTGCATATCCCTGAGAGCTAATTATGTTGAGCATCTTTTCACGTGCTTGTGGACCATCTGTATATATTTTTTGCCCAAATACCTATTCAAATCCTCTTCCAATTTTTAAATTATTTATCATTTTACTGTTGAATTGTGAGAGTTATTTTTGTGTTCTGGATACAAGTCCCTTATTTCAAATATATGGTTTTCGAATATTTTCACACTTCCGTGCGTTGTCTTTTCACTGTCTTGATAGTATCATTTGCAGCACAAAAGTTCTTAATTTTAATGTGGTCCAATATTTCTAGTTTTGTTTTGTCATGTGCTTTTGGTGTCTTTTTCAAAGAATCTGCTTTTGGTTTTATTCATCCACTCTGTTTCCTTTTTTTTTTTTGGCGCACCACTGAGGGATCTTAGTTCCCCCACCAGGGACTGAACCCTGCCGACAGTGAAAGTGCCAAGTTCTAACCACTGGACTGCCAAGGAATTCCCTGTTTTTATTTATTTATTTATTTATTTATTTATTTATTTATTTATTTTGGCTGTGTTGGGTCCTCGTTGCTGCGCATGGGCTTTCTCTAGTTGCGGTGAGTGGGAGCTACTCTTTGTTGCGGTGCACGGGCTTCTCATTGCGGTGGCCTCTCCTGTTGTGGATCACGGGCTCTAGGCACGCAGGCTCTAGAGCACAGGCTCAGTAGTTGTGGCGCCAGGGCTTGGTTGCTCCGCGGCACGTGGGATCTTCCCAGACCGGGGCTTGAACCCGTGTCCCCTGCATTGGCAGGCGGATTCTTAACCACTGCACCACCAGGAAAGTCCCAGTTCATTTTCTCTTTATTATTTCTTTCTACTTCCTTTAGGTTTGGTATTTTTTGTCTAGCTTAAGTTGAACATTTAATTTGATTTTTAAAATTCTGACTTACAATTATTAAAGGACAAGTTATTTGCTAAAAGCTTATAAATTAATGGTCAGAAAATTGGACTTAGTGATAGGCTGGTTTCTTCAAGCTTCTAGGTAATAGAAGTTGAAGAAGGTAGTAAGGGAAAGGGAAGCCCCTGGATATTTTATGGGAGGGAAATGGGCAAAAAGAGAACAAAATTCAGGATAAATGGAAGAAAAGGGCTGCCTTTTTCTCCTGACTCCCTGGAATTTGTTTAATAAGTATGGAAACAGAAGCAAGTACTGTGGTTTTTCTATAGCTATCTTTTACAAGTCGATATTTCTTGCTTTTGGATCACATGGATTTAGAAAAGATATCGTTTTGTTTTTAGCCTTTTTTAAAATTTTATTTTATTTATTTTATTTTTGGCTGTGTTAGGTCTTCGTTGCTGTGCGTGGGCTTTTCTCTGCTTGTGGTGAGCAGGGGCTACTCTTCATTGTGGTGCACAGGCTTCTCATTGCTGTGGCTTCTCTTGTTGAAGAGCACAGGCTCTAGGCGCGTGGGCTTCAGTAGTTCTGGCACGGGGGCTCAGTAGTTGTGGCTTGTGAGCTCTAGAGCGCAGGCTCAATAGCTCAGTGGTTGTGGCGCACCGGCTTAGTTGCTCCGTGGCATGTGGGATCTTCCCGGACCAGGGCTCGAACCCATGTCCCCTGAATTGGCAGGAGGATTCTTAACAACTGCGCCACCAGGGAAGCCCTGACATTAAAATACCACTTTATGGAGATAAATGCACATCCCATCAATTCACCTATTCAAAGTGAACAACTGAGAGGCAAAGTTCGCGCGCATTTTTGTGCAGGCGAGCCTCCCCGCCCAAGGTCTGTACTGGGCACCCCCCCACCCCCAGGCCCAGGCCCCCCACCCCCGTGCCCCCAGACCCCGGCAGAGACCCCCTGCTTTTCGAGTGCAAACGAGGCATCAGCCATCCGAGCGGAGGACAACCGGAGGTGCGTCCTGCGCGGTCGGACCCGTAAGACCAACCCGGCGGCCTAGGCCCCGCCCCACAGGCCGCGGATCACCGAGGGCGGGTCCTCCCGCTGTCCTAGAGGTGCCCCCCGGAGGTGGCAGGGGATCTCTAGGTCGCTTCCGGGAACCAGGCCGCGCTTCCGGGAACCAGGCCGCGCTTCCGTCTGCGAGCGCCTTTCTGCTCCGCTTGGGACCCCGCGACAGGTACGGGGGCGCAGCGGGAAGCGGGGATGGGTATGGGTCGCCCTGCTCGCGAGGCGGCGAACGCTTTGGAGGCAGGAGGCCGATCCAGCAGCTCGGGACCGGACCACAGGGCACTGACCGCGGCCGGGGCGGCGGCTCGGAAGAGCTTGGGTGGCCGCCTCGGGGCGCTCCTTCCTCCGGGCCGGGGGGCAGCGCGCTGGCCTCCAGGGACCGGGGCTTGAGCGGCAGGCGGCGGGGCTGCGGAAGGCTGTCCCGATACTGGCCAGGCCCTGAAAGAAAACCCGTGGGTGGTCGTTGGCAGCCGGGGTGAGGGGGCCCGGCCTTCCCGGGAGAGTGGGGTACGAGGAAACCAGTGGGGAGTTCCCCGTGCGCCCGGGCCCGCCGCGCTGAGGCCCGCAGTCCAGGGGTGGGGGCGCCTTGGGGACAGCTCTGCTCGGCACCTGGCGCGGCTGCGGTGGGCCGGGCGCTCCTGCAGAAGCAGGTGTGGGGTGTCGTGCTGTCCTTCAGGTGACGTCTCAGCCCTTTTTTCCAGGTACTGCACCCACCTCTCTTAACACCTGCGCCTCAGCCCTTCCTGCCTAAGGGACGCCGTCTGGTCTCCCCCCTGCAGGGACTTCTGAGTGGACGGGCCTGGGTTCTAGTCCTTGACTTGAGCAGTTGATTCCGCCTCGATTTCCTTGTTGGTGGGGTGAGAACGATAACCCGCTCGTGCAGAGCCGTGTGCGGCTTGGAGGTGGAGTAGCTGAGTGATCTTGGAGTGGTCAGTGGCAGCGGCAGTGGCTGTTGTGTCCTTGTGTTCTCTGGACCTTTCTTCTCTCTCATTCTTTAATCCGTTATTTATTTGGAGAACTTACGTTGCTCTCCTGTTTCCTGATTCTCTTTCTTCTCTCCTCCCCACCTCATCTCCCTTTTCTGCTGGCTCCTGCCTCCCCTCTTCCAGGGACTGGAGAGGGGCCCCTCCGCCACCTGCTTCCAGGGCACCTTCCGTCATGCTGGCTGTCATCAGTGGTTCACACCATCAGCATCTGGGAGGTGGAGACCATATCAGTCCTCATTCACTGGCCCAAAGGACATGGGAGTCACTGGGCTTCTCTTCCGCCCCCCTTCCAGGCAGTTGCTGCTGGGACCTCCTACCTGGGCTGCCGGTCAAAGAGCAGGAAGCAGCGATGTCTGCCATGGGTCCTGCAGCTCCACACCTGCATCGCCCTGGTGACAGTCACAGTGGCTGCATGAGTTTCCTGGGCACCCAGCTGCCTCCAGAGGTGGCAGCAATGCCCCAGCTCCTGAGGGACCTGGAGAGGGGCACATTCAGAAAGTTGCTGAAGCTGGTGGTCAGCAGTCTGCAGGGGGAAGACTGCCGTGAGGGTGTGCGGCGCCTCGGGGCTGGTGCAGACCTGCCTGAGGAGCGTCTGGGTGCCCTGATCGCTGGCACACACACCCTGCTCCAGCAGGCCCTCCGGCTGCCCCCGGCCAGCCTGAAGCCCGATGCCTTCAAGAACCAGCTCCAGGAGCTCTGCATCCCCCAAGACCTGGTCGTGGACTTGGCCAGTGTGGTGTTTGGGAGCCAGCGGCCTCTCCTTGACTCTGCGGCCAGGCAGCAGGGGGCCTGGCTGCCCCATGTTGCCGACTTTCGGTGGAGGGTGGACGTGGCCATCTCCACCAGCGCCCTGGCCCGCTCCCTGCAGCCAAGCGTCCTGATGCAGCTGAAGCTCTCGGATGGGTCGGCCCTCCGCTTCGAGGTCCCCACGGCCAAGTTCCAGGAGCTGCGGTTCGGTGTGGCCACGGTCCTGAAGGAGATGGCCGACCTGGAGAAGAGGTGCGAGCGCAAACTGCAGGACTGAGCCTTGCTCGCCAGTCCCCTTCTGGTCACCGGGGATAGCTGGCTCAGACAGGTGTCTCCAGAGCAAAGGCCGCCCTTCCCAGGAGGCACTCCAGTGAGTGTTTGAGTGTAATCGTGCATTTCTCTAAGTGAAGAAGACAGCTGTGTCTTCCCCTTTCTTTGGAAGTAAAGCAGCTACACAAAATATGTTCTCCTGGGTAGGCATCAAACTGCAGGCCCCGTCCCCCCAGCTGTCAGTTGGTCTTGTTGCCAGGTAAGGGCACCCACTGCTCCGGTGTGGCCATGTGTGGTCTAGTCACAGTCTGGGGTCCAGGCCAAGGCCTTTGTGAGGACACAGAGGTTGCTCAGGCTGCCCCCACCTAACGACTGAGCGCTTGCTCCTGTGATTTGGGGAACCCTGTGCTTCAGGGTGCACATTTCATTCCCCTGTCTTAAATCCCTCACCTTATGGAGAGCATTCTAGTGGGGCGAGGGAGGCATTACGAAGTGCATAATACAAACAAGTGGTGTAGCTCGTGGGAGGATGGGAAGTGGCGCAGGAGGCAGAGCAGCCTTTGGAGATGGGGGGCAAGGCTGTGGGAGAACTGGGCTGTCATTTTAAATTGGGTCGTGGGGGGACCTCCCTGGTGGCCCAGTGGTCAAGAATGCTTCCAATGCAGGGGACACGGGTTTGATCACTGGTCGGGGAACTAAGATCCCACATGCCGTGGGGCAACTAAGCCTGCGTGCCACAACTGCTGAGCCCACGCGCCGCAAACTACAGAGCCCACGTGCTCTGGAGCCCGCGCACTGTAACTAGAAAGAAGCCTGAATGCTGCAACAAAAACCAGACACAGCCAAAAAAAAAAAAAAAAAAAATCAGGGCATGGGTTGCGCCTCCTTGAGGACATGGTACCTGAGCAAAGACTTAAAGGAGGCGAGGCGGAGGGAGCAGCCTGTGGTGCACAGGCCACGTGGCTGCAGCCAAGTGGGGGCAAGGTGAGTGGAGGGCACAGGGGGCAGCCCTGAGGGCCTCTCAAAGAGCTTTGGCTCAATTCTGAGTGAAATGAGTGTGATGTGACAGTTGTTTTCAAAGGATCACACTGGATGCTGTGTTGATAGCAGAGCCTAGGGCAGCAGGGTACGAATTGGGAGTCTGGTGGAGTTGGCGGTGGCAGGGGAGACAGGAGCAGGGGCCTCGCCTGGGTGCCTCTAGGGTGGGAGTGTGCAGAGCCCGTGGCCAGCCCTGCACCCTGCAGCATAACCACACCCCAGGTAGGGGCCTGGCGTGTCCCTGCCTCCATGGTCTGCCACGAAACCAGGTCACAGGTCTGGTAGTATTAATAGCCCCGAGCATCATGCAGGAACCTCCTCTGAAAACAGAAAATGAGCTTGGGTGCCCACCTGGCACCTGCCCTTCCCCAGCGCCCCCTTCCTGCCCCCTGCTCCATGCCACAACCCATCAAGAGCGGCAGTGTTTGCTCTGTGCTGTTTCCAGAACACTCCCATGATCTTGGTTAATTAAGGCCTTTCCCTGAGTGAGGGTCCTAGCAAGTTAGGTGTGGGCCAAGGGCACAGAGGAGGCCACCCTAAGGTGCTGCTGTGCGCTCGGAGCTAGAGTTTCAGAGGCCAGGCTGCAGGTGGGGCCCCGTCTTGGCTCAGCTGAGGAGTGCAGACTCCCCAGGTCTCCTTCAGCATCAGCTGGCATCCTTGGGCTCTGCTCCCCTGAGGACAGGAGCTGGACCGGGCTGTGCTCGCTGTTGCCCAGGCCTGCTCAGAAGAACGTGCACAGGTGAGCTGAGCACCACATCTGCCTCCACCAGTGATGGAGGCTTTCCTGTCAGTCACTGTGCTGTGACGTCTTCCTCGACCACTGGGCATGTGTCAGGAACATGTGCTCATTATGATACATTTGGAAAAGCCGAAAAAGTAAAACGAACAAAAAAGTAAAAAGATTCAAAAAGCTCCTTTGCCCATAGACGGTCATGGAGAAACTGTCTTGACCAGACTTGACATTTACGCTCTGTGCTGTCTCTGTGTTAACACAGCTCTGTTCATGTAACTCTTCCTGATATGAGGGTCTGTCTAATGGCAGCAGAACATGCATCTTCCTGGTGGGCGTGCCAAGTTTCTCTTGGGCAAAACAAGCAAAGCACCACAGACCGGGCAGCCTATAAGACAACAGACATTGATTTCTCACAGTGCGGAGGACTGATGTCCGAGGTCAGGGGACCAGCAGGGGCGGGTGAGGCCCTCTGCCTGGCTGCAGACTTCCGTGTCCTCACGTGGAGGAAGAGGCAAGGGAGCTCTCTGTGGGGTCTCTTATCAGGGGGACTCCACCTTCATGACCGAAGCACTCCCAAAGGCCCCACCTCATAACACCCTCACATTGGGCATTAGGATTTCAACATATACATTTTGGGGACACAAACATTCAGACCAGAGCAACTGCTGTGTTTCATTTTTTTTCTTGATTAAAAAATCACTGATGTTGGGACCTCCCTGGTGGCTAAGTGGTTAAGACTCTGCGCTCCTAATGCAGGGGGCCCAGGTTCGATCCCTGGTCAGGGAACTAGATCTCACATGCTTGCTGCAACTAAGAGTTCGCATGCCACAAGTAAGGAGCCCTCGAGCTGCAACTAAGACCCGGCACAACCAAATAAATATTTTTAGAAATCACAGTGAGGACTTCCCTGGTGGCACAGTGGTTAAGAATCCACCTGCCCATGCAGGGGACACAGGTTCATTTCCTGGTCCAGGAGGATCACACATACCGTGGAGCAACTAAGCCCATGTGCTGCAACTACTAAGCCCATGTGCCGCAACTACTGAGCCCTCATGCTTTAACTACTGAAGCCCACACACATAGAGCCTGTGCTCCGCAACAAGAGAAGCCACCACAATGAGAAGCCCATGCACCACAATGAAGAATAGCCCCTGCTCTCCGCAGCTAGAGAAAGCCCGCGTGCAGCAACGAAGACCCAACACGGCCAAAAAAAAAAAAAAAAAAATCAGTGATGTTATGCAACTAGATATGCAACTAGAGATTATCGTACTAAGTGAAGTCAGACAAATACCATATGATATCACATGTTTGGAATCTAAAATGCATACGATACAAATGAACATATCTATGAAACAGACACATGGAGAAGAGACTTGTGGTTGCCAAGGGGGTGGGGGTGGGGGAGGGAAGGACTGGGAGTTTGGGATGAGCAGATGCAAACTAGTATATAATGAATGGACAAACAACAAGGTCCTACTGTAGAGCACAGGGAACTATATTCAATATCCTGAGATAAACTGTAATGAAAAAGAATATAACTGAATCACTTTGCTGTACACAAGAAATTAGCACAACATTGTAAGTCAACTATACTTCAATAAAAAAAATTTTAATCATTGATGTCAATAGGAAACGGTAGAAGGATGTTATATTAAAACTATTTAGAAGTAGAAACAGAGGAGGCAGAATGTGACCACTTTCCCCATTGAATCATTCCATGTGTAGACTTTTGTGTTGGCTTCTTAACACAGTGTTGTAAAAAAAGAATGTGATCATTTTAGGGGCTTCCCTTGGTGGCACAGTTGTTAAGAATCCTCCTGCCAATGCAGGGGACACAGGTTCGAGCCCTGGTCCGGGAAGATCCCACATGCTGCGGAGCAACTAAGCCCGTGCGCCACAACTACTGAGCCTGTAGTGCCACAGCTACTGAAGCCTGCTTGCCTAGAGCCTGTGCTCTGCAACAAGAGAAGCCACATCAATGAGAAGCCCACGTGCCACAACGAAGAGTAGCCCCTGCTCTCCACAACTAGAGAAAGCCCGCGCGCAGCAACAAAGACCCAACGCAGCGAAGAATAAAGTTTTTTTTAAAAGAATGTGATCATGTTAAAGCCCTTGGTATTATGTCCCTAACGACCCGAAGCACCACCTCGAGCGCCCCCTACAGGCTAGACGCTGTCGACCAGGCCCCAGCCGAGCGCAGAGAAGGTACAGGTGGAACCACCAGGTGCAGGCCCTCTGCCGGGCGCGTGTTAACTCATTAACTCACAGGCACGAGGCCTCTCCGCCTCACGGGTGACTAAGCGCAGAGAGGTTTGCGTCTTGCCTAACGACACACAGCTGATGGGGGAGCTGGCAGTCCGTTCTCCGCCAGCCTTCCCTCCCCACCTGCCCTTAGTCCGCCGACTCTGTGGGCATGCGAACCTGGTGGCAGGGCAGGCTCTTGGTGCCGGCTCCCGTGCCCTGAGCTGCTGTGTCCAGAGTGAGGACACACGTTTAGGGTCGAGGGCCACGGGCTTGGGGGCGTCTGTTTTGCCGGTTACCGCAGCGAAATTGGGCCAGTGCAACCAGGAAAGGAGACCTGGGGTCCGAGCCCGGCCGACGTGCCCCAGCAGGTGCTCTGAGCTCTGCTGCCACGGAGTGGCCCCGTAGCTGCGACGCCGTGGCTCTAAGTCACGTGCCTGGCAGGGACGCACACACCCCCTTCCCGAGGGACCCTCCCATCATCCTCTCGGTTGTCCTGGCAGGCAGGGGTGCTTTTCCGACTGAGGCTGGGAGTCCCGCGAGTCAGCACCAGGATTTGCACACCCTTTTGCCCATCAGGCGGCAGAGACCCCCTTGTCCTTGTGCTCCTGGCGGGGGCTGTCTGGCTCTGTCTCCCCAGCCCTGTGGGTGTGTCCACCCTGCTGGTCTACGCCCTGGAGGGTCGGCAGACTGGGAGGGCCCTGGGCCCCTTGAAGTCACCGTGTCTACACGGCGCTATCTGCTCCCATCTCCACCCTCGGGGGGTCCCAGCCAGCAAGTGGGGGTGTAGAGCTCTGCTCGCTCACCTGCTTCCCTCCCCCTCTCCCAGAAGGCACCGTCTGTGCCTTTTAAGTCACTGGTCAGGAACGTCAGGACCAGAACATTATCTCCATCCTCAGGAGGCTGGAGGTGGTGGCCCTGACGGCGCTGCCCCTCCCACAGCGGCTGTGGGGCAGCCCTTTCCCCCGCTTCTCCAGCTGCTCAGCCAGGAGAGGGTCGCAGAGCCCTGCCTCGGCCCTCGGAGGAGCTCTTGACAGCTCTGATACTGCAAACTCTGGGTTGTTCATTTGTGAGCCTTCATGTTTCTGTCTCAAGGAGGGACACATGGGCAAACAGTGACACAAGGCATACAGGTGGTAAGTGGCTTTCATGAGACGGAGAAGATGGGCAGCAGGCTGTTCCCAGGACTGTTGGCTCCTGGGGCTGGACAGAGCCAGGGGATGAGAGCCACCAGCCTCCAGGCCGCTCACAGATTCTGGCCTCACCGTGGGTACGGGGAGGCAGACGAGATCCAGCTTGAGAAGGTCCCTCCAACTGCGGGTCACAGGCTTGCGGGCCAGCAGTGGTGGCCCTTCTCACCTGCGTCGAGAGTGGCTAACTTTTCTCTAAAGGGCCAGAGAGTATTTTAGCTTTTCAGGTCATAATGATTCTCAGTTCTGCCATCGTAGCTCAGAAACAGCCAGAGACATCTAAACCAATGGGCATAATCATGTTCCAATAAAAATGTCCTGTGGACACTGAGATTTTAAGTTCACATCACAAAATTTGTTTCAACCATTTAAAACCCATTCTCAGCTCCAGGGCCGTACAAAACCAATTGGGGGGTGGGCGGTGGCTCTAAGTGCTACACTTCCCTGTGCGCCTGCAGGGCTCCCTCAGGCTGCAGAGGGACCATCCACCTTCACCTGCGGTCAGTCTCTACCCCAGACCTGGACTTGAGGGCAGGGGCCAGCCCAACCCACCTTTGTCCCCAGGCAAGAACAAGACCTTGTACAGATGTTTGCACCTGGAAAATTACAACTGTGTTGACCTTATTTAGATCTCTGTGGAAACTCTTTTTGCTGGAGAATTTTCTCTCTTCTGTGGGCCTCTGAAGCCTCGCCTCAAAGCCTGGATGTGCCCCAAATGCATCATTCATTCATTCAACAAACATTTCCCAGGCTCTGAGTGCAAGCCACACACACAAGGGGACACAGGGATGTGAAAACCCACCTGGGCTCTGCACACACACCCCATGTTATTTGTGAAGCTTCCAGAATGCTCAAAATGTCATAAATCAAAGCTTAATCTGATAATTGAGACAAAAAGCAATTTCAGGTCAAAATTAGGGGTTTAATTTGTCTCCAAAAGAGAAACCCAAAGTATTTTAAAATCTACTCTGGAATAGTTCTGGAAATTCTGTTTTTGGGCCATGTTGGGCGTCTTGAGGGATCTAGTTCCCCAAGGATTGAACCTGGCCCCGCACACAGTGAAAGATGGGTCCTGACCAGTGGACCGCCCGGAAATTCCCGGAAATTCTTAAAATGAGTTTAGTGTTGCATTTACTGAAGCCCCAAATTGGGAGCTATAGCTTGAAAGTAGAGCAGAATAGTCCAGAACTCGCACTACCCGGCAGGCAGCCCTCTCCTCTCCCTCCCTGCAAAGCGTCTGATGTGCGCAGATGCTTTTCCTGTGCTCTGGGATCTCAAACCTGTGCAGTAGTTTGAACTCACAATGTCTCGCCAGGTGACACACGAATACTACACATCTTTTTCACATGGACTCAGCTAAGAAATGACTCCTCACCCTGTACTTCTGCAGTCGATATTCTAGACTGGAATGCAGAGCTTGAGATGTATTTCTATTGAATTCTTGGTTGTATTGGGACATTTAAGTGAACAAAGCACACTAAGAAGAGAGAGGAAAAATAATCCCTCAAAGGCTGGAGGCATGAAGTTTTTACCCAAGTAAACGAGGCAGGACTGCCACTCGGTCAGAGGCAACCGGCAAACAAATGGGCCAGCTGTGTTCCAAGAACCTTTATTTGGTCACACTGAAATCGATTTCAATATAATTTTCAAATGTCACAAAATAGTCTTTCCCCCCCAACCACGTAAAAACGTTAACCCACCCTTAGCTCGTGGCCTGATAAAAGGTAAAAGCAGGCACATTAAAACCCTGACGCTGATCCGAGCAACCATGGGTTGGGAGCAGCACCAAAAGCTGAAGCGCTCAGGAGCCCACAGGGCCCTCGGAGGCGGAGCCAAGAGGCGGAGCCAGAAGGCGGAGCGTCAGATGGGCTACAGCTCAAGCAGCTGCCTTACTCCTTGGCTGTCTGTGATTGAGTTCCTGGACATGAGGGCATTTACAGGACTGACTCTGGCTCAGGTTCTGGGGGCCGTGTAGGTCCCAGTGCCTTCAGGCTGATCAGCAGGCCTCACAGATGTGGGCACAGGTCCGCATTTGGCCCACGGGCCACACAGTCAGCCAGCCCGACTTAGGACTGTGCTGATCCAGAAAGAATCCAGGTGCTGAAACAGATTTAAGGCTGGTCCCTCTGGCCCTTTTTGGCCAGCCTGCAAGTGCTGTTAGGGGAAAACAGAAGCATCCTACCCAGTGCAGAACCTGGAGTCCAGAGGCCTTCCATCCCTTTGTCCATCATTACCAGAAAGTGGCCAGGAGACAAATCCCTTGTGGGGACGGCACACCCAGCGACAAACAGCCTTCACAGAGCCAGAAGGCGAGAGCACGGGGCCTCGGGAGGCCCTTCCAGCACATGGTGGCACCAGGCGCCAGTGGAGGGCGCGTGTGGCACGAGCACCGGGACCCTGACTCTTGTCCCATCCTTGGGTGGCTCACAAAGCCTAAGATGCAGCCCACTCACATGTGCCCACCCTGCCCGGCTCTGATGGCGGTGACCACCTGGTTGAGCACACCAGCCGAGGCGGGAACACGATCTCTGCACAGTCTGTAGAAGTCCCTGCACTCTCGCACTGACCCTTCAGACACAAGCTCTGGGTGGAGCAGGGGACGGCCGGGGAGATGGGGTTACAGCTGCTGCAGGGGCACAATGACTGCATGGTGTCCTCCGCCCAGGGCGGGAACACCCCCGAAGGTGCAGTTTGGGGGATGATCCTCATCCCCAGAGACAACACTACAACCTGAGAACATGTCATACCTTTTGTCAGGTGAACTGGCAGATCAGGCTGAGCTGCCGTGGGGCTGAGTCCCTGTCCACGTGCTGAGAACGAAAACTCACGTGAACTCGGCCACCCTGAACTCCACTGTCCCCAGCCCCAACAGGCCCTCCAGTACACACGGAGCAGCAGTTTCCCCTGATACAAACCCATGGGCTGATTCTGGGCCATGTCGCACAAGGCGATCTGGGCTTCACCCAACCAGTGTGATGGTGACCCAAGTTGTGTTGCAATAAATCCTGAAGTGACCTATGTCCCTCAGGTTCACCTGTCCGTACATGGGAGAAGTGGCTTCTCTGTGGCAGGCCGCCCTTGGCCTGTGATTATTGGCAATGGCACCAAAGATTGGCAGGTCTCGGGGGGTGGTCCTGGGTGGCAGCCTGTGCAAATGACACACCTGGTCCCGAGTCACCACTGCCGAGTCCAGGGCCCCAAGCAGGGCTGGACTTGATGCTACATGTCAGCCTCATCCTGTGGCTCACAGGCCTTGATGAGATGCTCTGTGAGCTGCTCCGCAGCCCCAGCCTGTCAGTCAGGTTCACCAGAGGGGTGGGCGGAGCGGTGATCTCCCCTGCACATTCTTTCCACCCGTGCCAAGAAACCAAGGGCCCTGACCACTCTACCCTGGCTGTTTCTCCAGGCTGGGCTGGCAGAGAAAACCCAGGGAGAAGGTGATGTGGGCGGAGCAGGCTCGCTCACGCGCACCCGTTGCTCAGCACCCGTGGGGCCCTCTGCCCTGGGACCTGTGGGGCCCACAAGACCACGCCGACACACTGATCCTGGTGAGCAGGCATCTCCACCGTCCTCAGGCCTGTGAGAAGGCACGGGCTCGTGTGTCTGCTCGCAGACCCCCCAGTTTGGGCAGTCCCCGTGGCTGGAGTTTTGAGGACGTCTAGCCAGCAGCAGCCAACAACACACATCCTAGCCTCTGGTGGTGTTCTCGGGACTGAGGTGAGTCTCCTGCAATGCTGAGGGCCGGGCTGGGAATCCCAGTGAGGGCTGCGCATCTGATCCTTGTAACCAAAGCAGCTGGGCTCTGGACGTAGGGTGGGCCAGTGACACTGTCCCCGGGCCCGGGCACTGCTGCTGGAGCCAGCTCCTCCCCAGAGGCCCTGCCGGGGGAGTCAGGTGAGGGGGACCGGCCACGCTGCCTGGGGCCCCGCGGACACGAGTGAGCATATCTTGCTGCTGAAGCCAGTCTGAGTACCTGGTGCTTAAGGAAGACGTCCTGGGTAACTTCTTTCAACCCACTCGTCTGGCGGGGCTCACGGGGCTTTTCTCATGCCTCTTCCTCGTCCGCAGGACCTGGGGTCTTCCCTCTGTGAACTCAAATGCTACACATGTGCACCTTGATGTGAGGGACACGGGCTTTACTGAAGGTCAAACGTGCCAGCAAATAAACATATACCTCATGTGAATCTGGATGTTCTCTCTCCTAAGAGAGCAATTCTGAATCTTTCACAACATTCTAAACCGTCAGTATAAATGATCCCATAATAAGTTAAGGCTGTAGGTTTATTCACATTTATACACATTCGTAAAGGTGAGTGGTCTATCCCATGTGAATTTTCTGATGCTGAGTAAGCCTTGAGCTCCTATTAAAAGCTTTGCCACATTCATTACATTTATAAGGTTTCTCTCCAGTGTGAATTCTCTGGTGTATTATTAGATGCGAGCGCCATCTGAATATTTTTTCACATTCATTACATTTATGAAGTTTCTTTACAGTATTAACTTTCTTACGGCTCACGTGGGTAGAAGCTTCCAGAGTATTCCCATACTCGTGGTACCACTGGGCTCGAGTGTGGATCCTCTGGTGCTCGATGAGGTACGAGCTCCGGCTGAAGGCTTTCCCACACTCGCTGCATCCATAGGGCTTCACCCCAGCGTGAATGATCTGGTGCTGGAAAAGGGTGGAGTTCTGACTGAAGGCTTTCCCACATTCACTGCACTTATAGGGCCTCTCCCCCGTGTGCACCCGCTGGTGTATTGTGAGCTGTGTGCTCATACTGAAGGCTTTTCCACATTCGAGGCACTCGTAGGGCTTCTCCCCTTTATGGATCCTCTGATGGTAAATGAGGCTTGAGCTCTGGCTGAAGGCCTTCCCACAGTCACTGCACTCATAGGGCTTCTCTCCAGTGTGAATTCTCTGATGCTGAATTAGGTGTGAGCCCTGGACAAAGCCTTTCCCACATTCTTCACACTTAAATGGTTTTTCTCCAGTGTGAGTTCTCTGGTGGCGAATAAGCCGTGAGCTGCAACCAAAGGCTTTTGAACACTTGTTGCATTTATAAGGTTTCTCTCCAGTATGCGTCAGCTGATGCTGACTAAGGCGGGAGACCCACCGGAAAGCCTTCCCACACTCGTCACACTTAAACGGTTTCTCGGTAGCATGCAACCTCTGATGTGCAACCAGGCTGGGGCTATCTGGGGCTCTTGGGAGCTGAAGTTTCTCCCCAGCGTGCATCCGCTGGTGCTGAGCTAGGGTTGAGCTCTGGCTGAAGGCCTTCCCACACTCCTGGCATGGGTAGGGCCTCTCTCCCGTATGGGTCCTCTGGTGCCTGGCCAGCTGAGACTGCTGGCTGAAGGCCTTCCCGCACTCCCGGCAGCCATAGGGCCTCTCTCCCGTGTGGACCCTCTGATGGTGGATGAGGCTAGAGCTCTGACCAAAGGCTTTTCCACATTCCTCACACCTGTAGGGCTTCTCCCCAGTGTGAATCCTTTGATGCTGAATGAGTTTCGAGCTCAGACGAAAGGCCTTCCCACACTCGGTGCATTTAAACGGCTTCTCTCCAGTATGGATCCTCTGATGCTGAGTAAGCTGTGAGCACAACCTGAAGACCTTCCCACACTCCTCACACTCATACGGCTTCTCGCCATGCAAGGTACTCAGATGTCTCCCCTGTAAGCAATCAGGTAATTTTTTTTGGCACTCCTGGCAGCTGTTAGGTCTCTTCTGTGTATTAATTTCCTGATGCAGAGAGACATCTGAAGTAGATCGGAAACTCCTACCACAGATGTCACATCTTTGCAAGGACCCCTGACTTTGATCACGTCGACAACCCAGGCGGCCACCACTCCCCCGCTCGCCACACCCCTGGGCCTCTTCCTCAGCGAAGGTCTCCCTGGGAGCCACAGTCCCTATATTCAAGCAGTTTTTCTGGAAGAGGGAGGTTGGCTGACTCTCTGAACAGACCTCGGGATCAGAGGCATCTCCAAAGCCAGGACTCTGGGGAAAGTCCTGGGACGGGGTTTTGACCATGACCACATGGGATTCTGATTTTAGACGGTCAATGTCTTCACAGGCCTGCTCACTCTCGGTCCCGATTGTAGAATCTGAAATGAACAGGAAGTAAACTGCTGCTTATCCCCTGTGCTCAGAGGAAGGACAAAGACTGGAGGATGGGGCAGGGGTGCACACCACCCCTGGGACTGAGCCCCCTCCCAGACAGTCTGCGTTGAGCACATGGAAAGACGCTACAAGAAGTCAATGCCTTTGACAGTTCTCAAAATCTGGTTTCATTCATACTTCATTTTATGCACTCATTCAGTTACAGTGTACTTGGCAGAGTGCAAAGAGCTTCCCTCCTACATGGGGGAAAGGTCCTCCCACGTGGAACTAGCATGAGGAAAAATCTACAAAGAAGCAAAGTGAGCTCGATAGGGTGGGAGGTTTAGTGAGAGGCAGGGCTAGGCTGAGAGGTCAGAGGCTCCTGGTTGCAGAGAACGTAGAGTGAGGAGGAAAGAGAGACTGAAAACTGTGAATAGAGGGATGTTAGATACCAAGAAAAATGAGGTGCAGGAGCTGCTGAGGGGCACACAGGTGGTGAGCCCAAGAGAACTGGGCCTCCAGCTGTCCACTGGGTGGGGTTCTGAGAAGGACCCCAGGCCTGAACCCTGTGGCATCCAGCTGCCGCCAAGCCACGCCCTCTGACGCACACCTGGCCGCATCCCTTGCTAGTCTGCCCCTCAGCTTCCAGGCAGCCACACCCGCTGGCCATACTGACTCCTCCTTCCCATGGATTTCTGGAGGGTCCACCTACGCTGCCTGCCCTCCATATGGAGGTTTGGAGTGATGTGGCCACCAGCCAAGGAATACCTGGGGCCCAGAAGCTAGACTAGGCAGGAAGGATCCTCCCCTACAGGTTTCATAGAGGACATGACCCTGCCCATACCTTGATTTTGGACATCTGGCCTCCAGAACTGAGAAACAGTAAATCTCTGCTGTTTTAAGCCTCCAGTTCGTGGTGCTTTGTTACAGCAACCCCAGGACACTAACACAGCCCTAGAGCCTTATCTGAGAGGTTGGGGTCACCCAGGGCCCCAAGAAGTTCCAGAGGGAGCATGGCGGAGGGAGGGGACAGCTGCTCAGAGCCACACTTAGTGCTCCCCTTAGAGCCACAGGTGTGTACCTGAGCTCAGTAAGACTATTAGTAAAATTACAGGGGCTTCCCCGGTGGTGCAGTGGTTCTGCCAATGCAGGGGACATGGGTTCAAGCCCTGGTCTGGGAAGATCCCACATGCCACGGAGTGACTAAGCCTGTGTGCCACAACTACTGAGCCTGAGCTCTAGAGCCTGCGAGCCACAACTACTGAGCCCAAGTGCCACAACTACTGAGCCCACGTGCCTAGAGCCCGTGCTCCGCAACAAGAGAAGCCACTACAATGAGAAGCCCATGCACCACGATGAAGAGTAGCCCCTGCTCGCCACAACTAGAGAAAGCCCGCGTGCAGCAACAAAGACCCAACGCAGCACCCCGCTCCGGCAAAAAAAAATTACAAACTGAGCAAATAGTGGTTCAAAAACAAACCGTTTTTGCCATAATGCATGGGTGTTTTGTGCCCTCGCTTTTCTGTAGTTCAGTCTCTCCTGAGGCTGCCCCACCACCTGTCTACACTTCCAGACCCACCCCATGGCATTCCCAGGCAGCCCAGCAAGCCCACGTGGGTGGCACCTGGGGTCTACCTCCAGCCTCCCGCCCGCAGCCCTCTCACCCTGTGCCCGGAAACCTCACCTGCCTGGGAGGTCCTGGCTGCCTCTCTCCCCTCCGCTCCTTGCAGGTCGAGGACCCATGGCTCCTGCCCCTGTTCCAGCCGGGAGATCAGCTCAGGCTTGAAGACCAGGAATCCTGCTGTGGAGGTGGCAGAGGAGGAGATGGCATTGGTGTGGCTGGGAGTGCAGCTCAGCCCTCCCTTGTTCCCAGGAGTGAAGGGCTGGGGGCTACTGGGGCACAGGGGCCCTCTCTGTCCAGGTCTGTCGCCTCCTGAGGCTGGACACAGAGGAACTCCTGGACTCCCAGCCTGTCCCTGTCTCCATCCACACAGGGCCAGGATCCCCAGGGAGCCCTGTCACACGAATCTGCCTAGTACAGGCCAGCTCTAGCCCAGGGGGAGAGAAGCCAGGCACTGCCAGCACTTCCCTCAGTCCCTCAGTTCTGAGAGCAAGGACACCCCAAGAGATTGACGTGGTTAAAAAACAAGACAAACAACAACAACAAATCAACAAACAAAATGGATTTTAAATCAGAAGGTGTGAGGACTTCCGTGGCAGTCCAGTGGTTAAGACTCTGTGCTGGGCTCCCCTGGTGGCGCAGTGGTTGAGAGTCCACCTGCCGATGCAGGGGACACCGGTTCATGCCCCGGTCCAGGAAGATCCCGCATGCTGTGGAGCAGCTGGGCCCGTGAGCCATGGCCGCTGAGCCTGCGCGTCCGGAGCCTGTGCTCCGCAACGGGAGAGGCCACAACAGTGAGAGGCCCGCATACCGCAAAAAAAAAAAAAAAAAAAAAAAAGACTCCGTGCTTCCAACGCAGGGGGCACGGGTTTGACTTCTTGGTCTGGGAACTAAGATCCCACATGTCGCGTGGTGCCGCCAAAAAATAAAATAAAATAAATTAAAAAAAAAATCAGGTGTGAAGTCCAATGGTCACCCAGAAGCCCCAGCCTCGAGTCCTCATATAAAGCCCTGGGGGGCCTCGGCAGAGGGGTGGAGAGCTGCAGGCACCCACCTGGCACCTGCCTTCTGGGGCCGCCAGCCCCCATGCTGTGGGCCAGCCGTGTGATGTGCTCCCAGCCCATCCAAGGGCTGGCCAAGCCCTCTGGCTGGAGCACACCTCAGGTTTCCAGCCGTGTGGATGGAGAAGGGCAGGCAGAGAGAGCCTAGGTCGAAGTCTCAGGTGATGGCAGGACCCTGAGTTGACCCACAGTCAACATGAAACAGGTGTTCTTACCAAGCACATGTGCAATGCTCACAGAGAAACATCCCTGGGCCAGTCAGGAAGGGGATCAGGCACAGGCCACAGAACAATACCACAGACTGCACCTGATCTAAATGCAACTGGACATGACAGCCACCACAACAAGTAGCTCAAAACTATTAGCTACCTGAAAACGAAATGATGAATTACTAAGTGGTATTTACTGTAAGTAAATTGTATTTACTATAAGTCAAAATTTGTAGGGCGCAGCTGAAGCAGTACTTACAAATAAAATTTCACATTTTAAAATATGTTGACCAGAAACAAGAATGATTGGGGGCTTCCCTGGTGGCACAGTGGTTAAGAATCCACCTGCCAGTGCAGGGGACACGAGTTCGAGCCCTGGTCCGGCTCCATGCCATGGAGCAACTAAGCCCGTGAGCCACAACTACTGAGCCTGCGCTCTAGAGCCTGCAAGCCACAACTACTGAGCCCTTGTGCCACAACTACTGAAGCCTGTACGCTTAGAGCCGTGCTCCATGACAAGAGAAGCCACCACAGTGAGAAGTCCATGCACCGCAACGAAGAGTAGCCCCGTTCACCGCAGCCAGAGAAATCCTGCGCACAACAAAGACCCAATGCAGCCAGAAATAAAATTAAAATTAAATAATAAATTTATTTTTAAAAAAAGAAACAAGAATGATAAACACAGAAAAGGTAAATATTAAATTCAAGGAGTTGTAAACAAAACAACACAGCAAACACAAATAAATAAAAAGGGAGAAAATAACAAAAGTGGGCAAGATTCAATGAAAGAGCACCCCTTCCCCCCAAAAAAACCCGAAAGCTGGTTCTTCAAAAAGATAAAAAGCATAGTCTTGTGGCAAAACCAATCACAGGGACTTCCCTAGTGGTCCAGTGGGTAAGACTCTGTGCTCCCAATGCAGGGGGCCTGGGTTCCATCCTTGGTGGGGGAACTAGATCCTACATGCATACCACACCTACGAAGTCCGCATGCTGCAACTAAGAGTCCACATGTCACAACGAAAAGATCCTGTGTGCTGCAACAAAGACCCAGTGCAGCCAACATAAATAAATATTTTTTTAAAAAAATAACAGTCAACACAGTGAAAAGATGCTGCCAAAAAATAAAACAAACAAGGGAAACAAACACAAACATAATAGAGATTAAAAATAAAGAGTATTACGAACAAATACACGCTAAAAAAATTGAAAATCTGAAGGAGTAGATCTATCTGTACAAAAACTAGAAATAACAAAATTGGCACAGGGGAAAATCCGTAAGCTTGATAGACCATGAGGCATTAATAAAACGTAAATTCCAGTCAAAGACCTTCCTTCCCCAAGGGCCCAAGGCCCAGGTGGTTTTACAGGTGAGTTCAACCAAAAACTCGAAGGTTCAATTAATTCCATCTATATAAATTCTTCCAGAAATTAAGAAAGACAGCAAAAGCTTCCCAGCTCATTTTATGAAACTTATATGCAAAAAATGTCAAACTATATAATGACAATTCACCAAAACAAACAAACAAACAAACAAAAAACCATACAAGTCCATTTGGCTTAGGAACAGGGATGCAAAAATCCAAAATACAATACTGACTACCTGAGTCCAAAAGGTTATCAGAATGCATATGTAAATATCATGACTTAAGTAGAGTTTATTCCAGGAATATAAGGAAATATGCCAATGTAACTTATTAGACTAACAGGCTAAGAAAAAAAAAAACATATGGACATCTCAATTAATGTAGGAAAAGAATTTGAAATATCCACCTGCCAATGCAGTGAACACGGGTTCTATCCCTGCTCCGGGAAGATCCTACATGCCGCGGGGCAACTAAGCCGGTGCACCGCAACTAAGCCGGTGCACCACAACTACTGAGTGTGCACTCTAGAGCCTGTAAGCCACAACTACCGAAGCCCGCGCGCCTGGAGCCTGTGCTCCGCAACAATAGAAGCCACTACAATGAGAAGCCCGCACACTGCAACAAAGAGTACCCCCGCTCGCCACAACTAGAGAAAGCCCGCGCATGGCAACGCAGCCAAAAACAAAAAACAAAACACCGAAACTCTTCAGCCAACTTCTGTCCTTAGTTACATGCATTCCCTTTAAAATCAGAACAAAACAAGCATGCCCACAGCACTCCTAACAGCACGGGCGCTCTGGCCATTGCTAAAGATCAGGACACATGGGGGCCAGGAGGGAAAACACCAAGCTTTCACTTGCAGGCCCCTCCTTAGAACATGATACCAGAACTAGCAGGGAGTCCAATGAAGTGGCCAAATACAAGGTCTATCCTCCAAAATCAAGAGCATTTCTCTATAGCAGCAATAATCAGCTAGAAATATAACATAACAATGATACATTCACAAAACAACCTAAACTGAAGATCAAACACCAGACCACTGTGGAGGAAATGCCCACACTCTAATAACGTCTGCAGAGGTAAGTAGGTAAATGGAGACACAATGCACGGTCTTGGGTGGGAACAGTTAACAGAAAGGCGCCAGTTCTCCTCACACTATCTACAAATTCAAACCACTCCCCCATAAAAATTCCAGTGCAATTTTCAAGGAACTCAAACTTATTCTAAACTTACACGAAAGAACTACTCTGTTAGCCGTAAGTAAGTGAAATTTTAAAAAGAATAAAGAGCGAGAGCTGCCCCACCAGGTATTAACATGCCACAAGCCAAAGCAATCAAAAGTAATACTAATAACAGAACAACCTAACAAAAAGCAGAGAGCTGCCCCCTAACAGACCAGAGCTCAGAAACACACCATCACACATATGAAAAAGGCAGCTCTACAAATCAACGGGAAAGGATGGATTGTTTAGTGCTGGGGAAACAGCTCAGTGTGTGGACAAAGATAAAAAAGGATTCTCGGGGCTTCCCTGGTGGCGCAGTGGTTAAGAATCCACCTGCCAGTGCAGGGGACACGGGTTCAAGCCCTGGTCCAGGAAGATCCCACATGCCGTGGAGCAACTAAGCCCCTGCACCACAGCTACTGAGCTTGCGCTCTGGAGCCCGTGGCCCACAACTACTGAGCCCGCGTGCCACAACTACTGAAGCCCACACGCCTAGAGCCCATGCTCCGCAACAAGAGAAGCCACCACAATGAGAAGCCCGCACACAGCAACGAAGACTGAATACAACCAAAAATAAATAAAATAAAACAATAAATAAATAAATATATATAACAGAGGCCTGGCTAGGTGGGTGCTGACCGATGATGCAGGGGCTAAGGGTGTCCAGATGAAGCCTCACCTAGTCCGGCCACACTGCTGTGGTTCTCAAGCATCACCTCCTTGTAGAGGGCCCTCTGGCCAGGGTCCAGACACTGCCATTCCTCCCGTGAGAAGTGCACAGCCACATCACCAAACGTCACAGCCTCCTGAAAGGACACACACCAGTCCCCCAGGGACCCCTGGGTGTCTCAGGCACATGGACCACAAGGTTGGGTGAGACAGTCACCAGGCCCCTTTGGCTCTAAAATCAAGGGGAGGAGAGAATTCCCTGGAGGTCCTATGGTTAGGACTCCGCACTTCCACTGCAGGGGGCATAGGTTAGATCCCTGGTCAGGGAACTAAGATCCTGCAAGCCACGCAGTGTGGCCAAAACAGTAATAATAATAAAAGAAAAGAAAATCAAGGGGAGGGACAGTATGGAGAAGGGGGAGGGACCCAGACTACGGTGATATACAACCTTCCCCAGAGAGCCTCAGGCAGGGCCCGGTCTGGGCAGGTGTTTGCTCACTACCTTGGCAATGGGCATGCCGGAGACCGGCAAGGGTCACAGTGTGGAGCCAAGGGAGGGTCTAGGTCCAGGCCCAGTGGGCAGGGAGGGTGCCCAAAGGAGGAGGAAGGGGCCCTCCCAGAACGAGGGAGGGAACGGGGGAAGTCAGACTCCTACCATGCGCCTGCGTGGGTGGGGATCCGCGTGTCCCGGCCCAGAGACCTGCTGGAAGTAACGAAAAGGTCAGAGATCAGTATCCTGGAGGCCCCAACCCCTGACTTCCAGGCTAACCGAGGGGCGTGGTACTACGTTCCCCCATCCTTTACCTCCAACCCCAGGTGTTCTCTGGCAGGGACTTGGGGCGGGGCCAAAGTCGCCATGGCACCTGAGTACCTGCCCCCCGAAGCTCCATTCATCTTTCAGAGTGTGTAGTATGTATGAATCACTCCACAAACATGTAATGGGTGGTTGCCACGGGTGCCAGGTGCTCAACCAAGCAATGGGGATACAGTAGTGAACAGTACACACAGACTTTGCGTTCACGGAGCAGTCTACTGGAGAAGAGAGTTAAGTGACCACAAAAACAAATGCAAAATTACAGCTGTGATAATAGCACCGAAGCACAAGAAACTCTGAAAGCACTTAAACGAGGAAATTCTTAGTCTGATGGGTCACTTCCCCTAGGTGCTAACTTGGCTAAGGTAATGGAGGTGGGGAGGGCACCGCAGGCAGCAGGAACAACGTGTGCAAAAGGCATGAGGCAGGAAAAACCGGGGCTGAATGAGCCTGTGGGGCCGCAAGAGGAAGCATGATGCGACTGGAGGCTCGAATAGACAGGAACCGGAAGGACGGACTGCAGGGACAAGAGGAGTGGGCACAGGACCCCACCCCAACCCCAGTATATAAACTTGGCCCCTCTCCAGGCATCTCTCTGGGAGGTCAGAATGAGAAGCGGGCTTCCTAGGGGAGCTTCTGGCTCTCAAATCGGCTTGAGGGCCGAAGCCCCAGGCCGTGAGGGCAGCAAGGCTAAGGCAGCAGTGACCACTGTCAGGTGGGTCCCCACCTGGGCCTGGCCAGTGCTGTATCCTGGGTCCCCTGTAGAGAATCGCAGGCCCTTAGCGGCAACCAGAATTCAGAGAAAATACATATCTTACTCCCCCAAGGTACAGCCCTTTTTGCCACCCTCACTAAGTCTAGGCCTTCGACGGACAGTGAGGGAGGGAAAAAGAGGGCCCTAGAGGGAGATGATTATGCAGGTAGGATAAGCAAGGATGCCCCTGGAGCAGGCCTAGAACCGGCGGGAAGGTTAGGAGGCTGCCGCGAGGCCGGATCTGCGGGACTCCCCCTCCCGCCTCCCACCTCTGCCGGGCAAGACGGCCAAGGCTCGACCACCACCCCGCCAGGCGCCCACGGGCTCTAGAGAGCCGCCCGCGCCACCCGCGCTTCCCCGCGGAGAGGCCGGGGAGCGCGGGGCCTGCAGAGTCGGAGGCGGGAGGGCGCTGGGGCTGGTAGGCGGCCTCTCCGCCCGAGGGCGAAGAGCACGTGCGGCGCCCCGACACTAATCCGTGCGTGTTGCATCGACTCACCCTCCCCGGGGCCGCTCGAGGACCCACCCGCGGGACGACGCCGGAAATGGGCCTCGGCCGCCCGCGGCCGCTCTACCCCGCAGCCTTCCGGCCGTTCTGGGCGTTTCGGAGGCTCGGCCAACTCGGTGGTTCCCAGCCGGCCCCCGCCCCCGCCTCGGAGCCGGCGAACGGGCGGGGCCAGATCCCTGGGGAAAGGATAGAGCCCGGAGAGGGCGGGGCGGAGTCCGGTAAAGGGCGGGGTCACAGTACGGGGAGGGCGGAGCCGGGGCCCAGGAAAGGCGTGGGTCTGGGCCCGGTGTCTCTTGGCCTGGGGTCGGGGAGCGGACCCGGGCGAAGCGGGCGGAGAGCCTGAAGTTCGCCTGGGGACGATCCCGCGCACCTCCGGTCACCAGTCCGAGGGCGCTGGTCCCCGCACCGGTTCTATGTGCTGGTTTTTCCATAGCAGAACGCACCCGCTGGGCACGTTCGAGGCCCCAGGACTACGGAGACACCCCCACCCAGGCCGTGTCCGGGGTGAAGGGGGTACGTGGTGCGGGGCAACGGCCTGCTGGGGGCGCAGAAGAGCCGTGTGCAAAGAGCAGGTGTTCTGCACCTGGTGGGGCAGATGGTCCAGGCGGAGGTCACCGCAGTGCGGCGGGGCACCGACAGCTCAGAGATGAGGCTGGGAGGGCCCCAGAAAGGGTGAGGTCCACCAGGAGAAGGAGAGGCCCAGGGGAGGGTCGTCACCCGGGACTCCGGGCTGGGGTCCCTGGGTGCATCGCGGGGTTCGGGGCAGCAGGACAGCCCAGGACCTGCCGAGAGACCGGATGGGGTGGGACCGGATGGGGTGGGACCCCGAGGTCAGGTCAAGGCTTCTCCTCGCTGCGCCCCCACCCATCCCCAACTTCGTGTGGCCCCCGGGGCCACCTGTTCTGGGTGTTCTCCCAGATCCACGCTGTCCTGTGTGTAGGGGCGGGCACCCCAACTTCTTTGGAACTCAGCAGGAGCCTCCCCAGGTCCCTGCAGCCCTGGGGAGGACGCTGTCTGCGTCTTCGGAGGCCTCAGCTTTGTGCGGCCCCGGTCCCTGGAGCTCTTCACACTGGACAGCCCTGGAGAGGGAAGGGCGGGGGAAGGGTGCGCAGAGCTTTTCGCGGGGAGGGCCCTGACACCCGACTTGTCGACGATCCAAATCCCGGGGTCCCAGGCAAAGCCACTGTGAAATTGGTGCAAACCAAAGTAAGGAAATGGTCAGAATCAGCTCCCGGACCGACTCCTAGGGGAGGTGGAAGAGAAAAGCAAGTACGCTCGGAGGAACTAGCTTCTCTCCCTGGGCCCCTGTGCGGCATGGTCCCGGCGCTCCCACCCCACACCTCCCAGCTCGAACTCAACTCTCCCGTCCCCACATCCTCCCTGCTCACGCTCAGAGAGCATCTGTGCAAAGTATGAATAAACGAAGGAATGGAGAATGGGATAGGGCTGGGAATATGCCTGCTTCCTAACCTTAATCGCCAGCCAAGCGCTCAGGTACCCTGAGCTCACTGGTGGTCCTGATCTACTTACTGGGAGACTTCCTGCTGGAGGGTCTTCACACTGTTCCATCTAGAGGAGGGGCTGGCAAACCTGGGCCCTAGCCTGGCCCCCTCAAGGTAAGAATGACCCAGGGAGCAAGAGGGGGAGCCAGGGCTGATGCTTGGGTCTGTGGACCCTGAGGACAGAGCCATCTCAGCCACCACAAAAGCCTGGCCCAGAGTGTCCACCCAGCAGACATCTGGGCAGTGTGGGAGGAGCAGGTACCAGGGCACTGAGGGTGCTGCCCGGGAGTGGGGTGAAGGAGACTGCTTCTATCCACTGCAGGCCATTCCAGGGCCTCCGTGGCTGAGTCCCATCATCCTGAGCAAACAGACTATTAACAGTAAGGGGCCTGGGGAACTTCCCTGGTTGTCCAGTGGCTAAGACTCCGTGCTCCCGATGCAGGGGGCCGGGGTTCGATCCCTGGTCAGGGAACTAGATCCCGCATGCCGCAACTAAAAAAAGAGTTCACGAGCAGCTAAGACCCGGAGCAGCCTAAATAAATAAATAAATAAATAAATAAATAAATAAATAAAAAAAATTTAGGGACTTCCCTGGTGGCGCAGTGGTTAAAACGCCACCTGCCAATGCAGGGGACACGGGTTCGAGCCCTGGTCCGGGAAGATCCCACATGCCGCCGAGCAACTAAGCCTGTGCGCCACAACTGCTGAGCCTGCGCTCTAGAGCCCACGAGCCACAACTACTGAGCCGGTGTGCCACAGCTGCTGAAGCCCGCACGTCTAAAGCCTGTGCTCCGCAACAAGAGAAGCCACCGCAATGAGAAGCCCGCGCACTGCAACGAAGAGTAGCCTCCGCTCGCCGCAACTAGAGAAAGCCTGTGCGCAGCAACGAAGACCCAATGCAGCCAATAAATAAATAAATTAATTAATTTTAAAAGATTATTTAAAAAATAATAAATATTTTTTTAAAATGTCAGGGGCCTGCATGGTTCCCCAAATGGTCACAGTGCCCTTTCTCTGGGCCAACCCAGATTACTTTCCAGCTATTTCCGGCCTGCGATTGGGATTCCAAGCTGTAAGTGTTCCCAGGGGAAAAGCCCAGTTTAAAAATTATTTTTGGGAATTCCCTGGCAGTCCAGTGCTTAGGATTCCACGTTTTCACGGCCATGGGTGCAGGCTCAATCCCTGGTCAGGGAATTATGATCCCGCAAGCTGTGCAGCCAAAAGAAAAATTATTTTCAAAGAGCTGTGTTTCCAAGGCCAGTCTGGGCCATCTACTAGATTTTCTGTAGTCTAGTAGATGGCCCAGAGCAATAACACTTTCAATGAACCGGAACAGACGCAGCCCCTGAAGGCCATCACCATCCCTGAGCACTCAGGAACCTCATGGTGTGCTAAAATGTGCCTCGGGTTTCTTTCTTTTTTTTTTTTCCTCGGGTTTCTTTTAATCGGGGATGGTAAGACATGCAGACTCGGAAGTGAAGGAAGACATTGATACTCACGGGTCTCTGGAATGGGAGGCAGGGCACACCACATGGGGCCACACAGGGAAGCACTAGGTTGGTGAGGAGGCAAAAGAGGGGAGGGAAGGTTGGCCCAGAGCCTTCACTGGGGTTTCCGCAGGAAAGAATGGGCAAGGCAGAGCAGGCACGCCGAGTAAGCTGAGAATCATGTGTTTGAATAATTTCAGCAGGCTGCAGGTTATCAGGTTATGGTTGGTCTCTAGCTGTCCCATACCTGGCGCTGGGGTGATGTAGGGCAGGGAAACATTGGTGTGGGGTGTGAGTCTCATAAAGGAGACAGCTGGGAGTGTGGGCTCTGGATTGGTTGGTTTGTGCCAAAGCCTCGCTCTAAGGTCCTTTGCTGCCTCCAGGATCGCCTTTTGGATTTAGCCTCGCTTGACTCAAAAGCTGGCAGGAGGAACCGGGAGACCCCAAGCCCTGAACAGAAGCAGAAGCTCCCTGAGTCCCCCAGGGAAATGTTACCTGAGGAGGTCAGGGGCTTGGGGTCCTGAGAGCAAAATGAATGAGGTGCCGGAGGGGGCCTGAGGAGGTGGGCAGCAGGGGCTGCGGGTGACAGGCCTGTGCCCAGCACAGAGAGGCCTTGGCACCACCTGCTCCTGTCTGACTCCTGCCCTGTACTCAACTTTTTTCCCACTTGGACCGGAGTCCCTTGAAGGCAGGGTTTGTGGTGTTTCCATCTTGCCTCTCTCAGGGCCGCCCCCCCCATACTCCATCCTAGGGACCCCACAGCCCACAAGTCCAAGCACTGTCCCCACCTCCATCCCACTCTTCCTCTGCCCTTCTGGTCTTCCAGGCCTATCCCGAGCTGACCCCAGAGTCCGTCACCCTGCCCCAGGGCGGCCCCGGTGCCCCTCAGCTCCTGGCCCTGCTGTACGCTGTGCAGCCTCCGGATGAGCTATCTCTGCCAAGAGTCGGCTGTCTCTCCGGGCGCCTCGTGCTCCCCTGTGGCTTCAGCATGTGGCCACATGGACCCTTCCTTCCCTCTCCTGTCACCTTCTCCTGATGTCTCTCTGGCCTCCACCCCTGCAAAACCCACCTGCCCGCACTGGTGCAAACACACCACCCCAGAGCCCTGAGTGCAAGCCCCTCTGCTCCCTGAGACCCCTGCCCTCACTCTCTCCCTACCTCGCTGGCTCTCCCTCCTCAGGCGTCACCTGCACACCCACTGCCCTGGTCACTAAGCTCTCCCTGTCCGCGCCTACTGACAGGTCTCACTCAGGGGATCCACCCCCTCTTCGGCTAATTCCAGGGATCCTCTCTGGAAGGACCCCTCCCACTTCTCCAGAAGCCCCCTGCCCGAAAGATGTGCCCTCCTGGAGGCTCCCTTTCTGGTAGGCTTGCCCGCCCACTCGACGGCCCCGCGGCGGGAGAGCAGCATCCCCGCCAGACCACCGGAGCCTCTGCGCACTGCGGGACCAACCACCTCAGTTCGCCTGCGCTGAGGCCCCGGCGCGAGGGAGGGGCCCCTGGCGCCCGCGAGAGGACTACAAGTCCCGGCGTGCCTTGCGGTGGCGGCCGCCGCTCCTGGCCGGAAGGTTAAGGGCTCTCGGCCCCACCCCGGAAGATAAGGCGGCTCTCAAGGGCCGCGTCTCCTCTTTCGGCAGTGCCCGGCAGCAGGTAGGACGTGTTGGTGCCGCCTGGTGCCATCCGGTGCCATCAGGCGCCATGCGGCGCCCTAGGGCCCGTGAGGGACCCCAGCCGGCTCTGCAGAAGGCGCCAGGTCGCACGGCCGGGGAGGGGGGCGCGAAGGGTGCCGAGACCTGGAGGGAGGAGCCGGGGGAGCGGGAGCCCTGAAGTCGGGGTGGTGGGGGTGCTTGGGCCGCCCGGCCGCTGACCATGAGCCACCCCCAGACCGCCGCGATGGGTCGCGTGATCCGTGGGCAGAGGAAGGGCGCCGGCTCCGTGTTCCGCGCGCATGTGAAGCACCGAAAGGGCGCCG